GCTTTGCCGCCGGGGCTGATATGTGCAAACGGGCAATTGGGTCCTCGATTGCATGTCCCTTTGGGGAAGAAGAGGCAGGGTGCCTTTTCCTTAGCTGCCGGTGGGTCCTTTGGACTTGTACCTGGCGGTGCCTTTGGCGGTGGTGGATTCGGGGTACCTTTCGGCGTGCCTTTACCACCCTTTGGTCTGTCTCCTTTCGGTGTGCCTTTACCGGGGCCTTTGGCACCGGGTGGCTGACCTTTATCTTTACCCGAACCCTTAAAGGGAGGCTTCGCTTTACCGGGCAATGCGGGTTGCGTATCACTGCCTTGTGGGTCGGCCACCGCGCCTTTGTCGCGGTTTCTCCGATCCTTCTCCTTCTGTTCCTTGGTTTTCGTTCCCTGCTTATTGGGGGATGGGCTTAGCGCATCTTTGATGGCCGTCTCGTTAGCGTCTTCCCTCAATTCAGCAATCAATGACTTAAGCTTGGCAAACAACCAATCCCAAGTCCTAACCCGTGAACCCTCATGAGCATCTTTGATGCGATCGATGTGCCGCTGCAGTAGACGACACTTCTTCAAACGGCCAAACAGCCAAGTGAATTTCGTCTGTTCTGAGGGCTGATGTTCGACGGGGATTGAATTCAGGATGTACTCTACACGATTCGCGAAAGCAAGTATCGATTGGTACGAAAAGGTGTCTAGCTGCAATTCCAACAATGCCTGCTCAGTTAGGTTCGCTCCACGGCGCTGGTCAAGGAAGAATCTGTGGGCAACCATTTGCAACAGTACCCTTCCCCTAGGGGCTGTGTACTGAAGCTGACAACCTTCAATGTAACCCTGAAGCTGAATGCCTAACTCATTGTTGAGATGCTTCGGGTCTGCAAGAAGTGATGCCAAATGCGCGTCAAACCTCGGAAGTCCCTGGGGATCTGACAGGTCCGCATCCTGTGATGATTCGAAAGCGGGCAATAGCCACTTAAGCAATGTATCAGAACCGGTCCTATCAATGGCACATACCTTGGTCACAAAAGCGTTCTTCCAGGATCTAAACTGAGCAGCATCGCGAGGGAGAGAGTCGACTTTCACCAACGACAAATCCTTGTGCTTGTACACATCATCTTCCGAAAACAGCATCGTTGACCCGACACCACGGCTATTGTAGCTTCGATGGCTCCCGGCACTACCGTGCGGGCTAGGATCAGAAGGGTTTGGTGGACCTCCGAAGTCTAACCGCAATTCCGAATCATCAGAATCGTCATCTGAATACGGGTCATGTTTGACCGGGGAACCATGCCATGAAGGATGTGGTGAAGGATTCTGCCTTATCGATGGTGCTATTGGAGCGGGTGCTCGCTGGTATGAGGCAGCGGGTGGCCGAGTGCCGACGCCGCTGGACAACGGTAATCTAGGTCTTCGAGGGCTAGTTACGGAATCCCGCAATGTATTAACCTCAGCCCTTAACTCAGCAATGGTAGAGGCTAACTCCGTGCCATTGAGGATGTTTGGTGGTGGGTCCGAAGGTGGAGGCATGCTCTGATGACGAAGCACAGTGACCTCGTTCTGTAATGTACGGATTTGCGCAATCAGTTCAGCTTCCTTTTGTTGGAATGCCAATTCACGCTGCTGGACTTCTAGTCTCAACTCGGATCTGGCTTGTTCCACTGCTGCGGCTGCTGCTGCCTTAGCGATTGCCTGAGCCTCTAGAACCGCAGTCTGAGCCTGATTGACAACTTGCGTTCCGAATTGCCTAGCCTCTTCCCTCGCTTGACCCTGGGCCTCCTGGACCACTGCTTGGGCCTGACCATAAACCGTCGACTCGAACTCTCTAGCCTGAGCCATCACCTCGTTAGGATCAAGTCCTATGCTAATGTTTTGTTGATACAACCTCACTCCCGAGCTATCCTGTAGGAACATATGGAATGCTCCGGGCTGGCGCAGCTCCTGTGCGCACAATGGGGCCATCATCTGGGCTCCGGTTGTGTGGAGATTGGTTGGCGAATGGCACCAACGAACCACTACCTGGGCCTTTGTCGGAGGCTGGGGACTGCTTAAGGTGAGGTCCTTTTCTTACTGTTGGCGATGGGGAAGAGCTATGGCTACTACGCGACCCTCGGGATGACCTGGAGGAAGCTCTAACCGGCAATGCCCTAACCCCACTACTGGATGAAGTAATCTGCAAGGAGCTTTGCTCTTCTGACGACATTTCGTGGGACATGATTCAAGCAATTGGGGACTTAAGCGGGGTTGGCGACTGCCGAAACTCCCGTGTTCTTTTCAATCCCTTGCGCCCTCACCACTCAGAGATGGCGGGAAGGACAAGGTCGCACAGCTCTGTGCGGCGGGCAGGGTGAAGTGCCAAGCCTTTCCACCCGTAGCGATCCCAGCCAGAAAACTCAGCACAGATTGACGGTTTGTCGTCCACGTGGACGACTGGGATCCCGTCGCTCAAAGATGAAGCTGAAATCGCCGACCAGAGTCGCTGGGCCTTGTTCGGTCGCCTGATAAAGAGAAGCGGCAGGCTACGTTATACCGCGCTGACACTGCCACTTCGCGCACGTACTCCAACGCGTGCTCAATCAAGCTTTCCGTTGAACATTTGGAATTGACAAGGATCAGTATATTGCTGCGTCGAGACAGGTTCTCGAAAAGATAGCGGGACTGCAAGAAGGTCCTATCCAAAACTCCGTGGTAATCAAGGGAGAGAATATGGGTGACGCCTCCTTGCTCTTCGACCGCGCGATCAATTGCCGCAGCAAGATAAAGTGGATTCTCGTCGCACCGGAGCAATGAAAGTGGCTTGGGCGGCGGACCAGACGGCTCAACTGGACGCTGCTTTGGCCTGGCCTTCTGCTTGGGCCTCCGTTCTGGGATCTCAGGCGCAGCAGTGGGACCTGTTGCCGAAATGTGCTGCGTTAGCGCTGGTCTAAGAGGAGCAGAAGGGGGTTCAGGAGGAAGCGGCCTACCGGAGCTTAGCCTATCGGAACCACTTAGCACACTGAAGTCAGGCTGGTCACGAACAGAAGGCGATCGCGACCTGCGCTCAAGTGAGCTGCCCAAGTGGGAAGATGAAGAAGCTGGCTCGGCGGATGAAGATGCTGGCTCTGCTCGCTCTGAAGTGTCCAAAGAATCCAAAGAAACCTCGGCCAAATCCTGTAGCGAAACGGGCTCCTGCAACACCGAGTCTGAGTCAGACTCTTCCTCCTCCTCCTCCTCCTTCGGAAGGAGAGGAGTCCCCTTATAGATCACGTACCCAGACGCGGAGATCTGCGTAAGCCGCGCGCTTACTTTAAAGAACTTGGCAGCCAATGCCGGCACCTGCCCCGGAGGCTTGTTGAATACTTCCTCGGCGAGGTTTTCCAAACTCTCACGCCAAAGCTGAAGCAGCTTTATATGAAGTGAGCGGCGCTTATTGTTGGCGGCCCGGCCACCTCTAGAAGCGCGGGTGTCGGCTCCAAATGCCGCAGCAAGTCCAAAAAGCTCTTCACGGCGATCCGGTGACAGCATATACGGGTGAGACGAGGAAGCCGATTAACTCCAAGTCCCAATGCAAACCCCCGTGCCGTTAGAGTGGCTTGCAAATTTACCCCCGTGCCGGAACTGTGGCTTGAAGTTGATGTATCCCCCAATGCCGCTACTGTGGCTTGATGTTACCCTTTGCCTGAATCGTTGGCTTAACTGTCCCTATGCCAGAATCGTTGGCTTAACTGATGGCCTATCGGATGATGCAGGTGACTTCGTCGGAAAACCACACTCAACCGACAGTACAACCAACCACAACCAACCAGGATGCGGCCGGTGGCTGTGTGCCAACACGGCAGCAGAGGTGGAAGTGCTTTCGATTGTTCCAGAATCCCAAATCTTATGAGATCAACCGAAACCAGAAATCGAACCTTTGATTCAATCTCAGCTAATCCTTCCAATCACCACGAGGCCTTGCTACCCTGAAGTCGTGAACGGACCTTTGGGCAAGGTGATTGGATTTCGGGTGTTCCGGGTGGCAAGGTGCCGACACCGGCTGTTCGGGAAGTCAAGGAAGATGTTGAGGATAGCAGGGGCTGTTGGCAGTTGCCGAATCAGCCCTGTACCTAGAGAATGGTCCAAGCTGTCTCCTCGACGCAGCAGGCGGAGGAGAGAGTGCGCGCCTCGACACACGAAGTGGAGACACGAACAACAGCTATGGGAAATAACGAGGAACCTGAAGATAGATTGGTACAAAGGCGGTGTCGTCTATGTACCTAGGATGAGATGCGTGATGAATGCGATACAAGGCAATCGTGAGCTCACCTCTCCTGTAGAAGGAGCGAAGCAAATTACGCACAAGCCTGCGCAACCTCACACGGACTCTAACCCAACGTTGGCGCCTGGCCAAGTATGCAGGAAAGAACCTCCTTAGGATGAAGATTCGGATATCGTAGTACAGCTCTGTGAAGAAGTAAACCACACGTTCCCAAAGCGTAGGCCAACCCTCAGGCGTGGGCATACACTAACGATTCTGTGGTTCAGCAATATGGAAAGCTCCCTGTTGGCTGGGTGCCTAAGCAGGGGCAGAGGTTGGCAAGAATGTGAAAGAAGGACAGACTCTACCCGGTGGTTGGCTCTACCTACACGGGGAGTACAGATAACAGTGCAAATATGGAAAGAGATGTGGAATGGCGGGTAGGTCTCTCACAGACCAATGACACTCCGATTTCAAGCTCTACCCTAAGGGAGCAATATGGAAGGTGTTATGGCGTCGGTAGGCTCCTACACTACCTACACCAAGCAAAGTTGAGGCTGTTAACCAGTTAATTGCAGGGCAATCTCTGATTCCAAGACACAGTGATGATAACGCTTCTTTTGTGTCTTGAGCCAAATATCGGTGATAACGTCTTCGAGTGAAACTGCTTCAAGATGATCTACATAAGAAGGGCCTGGGGGCTCGTGATTTCTCAACTTATGTATGTATGTATGTATGCATATATAAATATATAAAATATATACTCAAAAACTATGAAGAGTGACGTTTTAATATGGCAACATTTACTTATGGAAGTACTTCTTGACTTGCCTCTCGGCCGTCTGCTGTAAGGTTGTCAGGAGGCTGGCCGTCATATCCTCACATCAGGCTAGGGTTTAGGGATTCGGTGTTTAGGGTTTAGGATTTTAAGCGCTCGGGGTTTAGGGTTTAGGGGCTGAGGAGTTCAGCGGAGCTTGATGCTGTGGCTCAACGTTTAGGGCTCCGGGTTTAGGGGGCTTTGGGTGCACTTGCCTTGACATGAGAAGGAGTTTACGGAGCGCTAGACTGCACCAAGTTAAGGCAAAGCAATCCCCATCCAAAGCTCTTTTGGCTTCGACTTGGGGGAGGTACGGCTTCAGGGGCTTAGGCCTGAGAGCTGAAAACTCAGCCAACAATAGACACGCAAAGCAACAGCGACGGTCAACCAGGAGGAACGCAGAATTCAAAGCAAACTATGATAAACCTCACAAATCACCACCCCCAAACCCTAAACTGGAGCATGCTAGCTTCTTGCATGCACAGGAGCCGTGCGCATGAGAACGACAACAACGACGAGAGCGAGCTTGCCGTCGCAAGCTTTGTCGTTGCGGATTAAGGGTTCAGGGTTTAGGAGTTTTGGATTTAGGGTTCAGGGTGTAGGGTTCAGGCTATCGGAAACCATAGACATAGACACGACGTCTTCATCTTTGACACTGCGTCGCGACACTCGCATCTATTATGTTCGTGAACAGTCATCCCAAATCCGAAGCCCCAAACACCCCCCACCCTAAGCCCCTTGACCCCAAAGATGGGATCCGAAACCTCATGCTAAACCCATTGACCCCAGTTGGAATCCAGAGCCCCGCAAACTCTCTTCTGCAATGACCGGACCCCTCCCGTTGGCTATCTAAGAAAACCATGACCCAAAACCCGCAAGTTAAGCCTCAACAAACCCTGTGTTAAACCCTGAGCCCCAGAAGCTAAATAACTATAACTTTAGACCTTCTACAAACCCAAAACCCTATGTTAAACTTTAAACCCTAGAACATGAATAACTTTAACTTTAGACCCTATACAAGTCAAACCCTAAGTTCCCGAACGTAAATAACCATAACTTTAGACCCCAAACAAACCCTAAAACCTAAGTGGACGAAAACATGTAAACAACATTCGGAAACACGGCAAATACTCGAGAAGTTGGGCCTCCAGCACCCTATAATGTAGGAACTTGATTGAGAAACCTTAGGTGTTTGTTAGGGTTCCATTAACGGGGTCTATAAGGGTTCCTATAAGGGTATTATAATAAGGTTAGGAACCTGATTGAGAAACCTTGGGCCTTTATTAGGGTTCCTGTTATGAATCCTACTATTGAGGGGTTACAGGCCCAGGACTTCTTAATCAGGTTCACGCACTAAAACCCTAAAAACACCCTAAACCCGAAACGCCTAAAGATCCTTGAACCCCAATAAACCCTTGAACCCGAAATCCCTAAACCCCTAAATCCCTAAACCTCTCTCTCTCACGCATACGGACGTCCGGGGCGGTCGCGTGCAGGCCAAAAACAGGCAAAGCCTGCAGCCAATTCAAAAGCTACACAAACAAGGCCGCGAGGAGGTTGCACCACAAAAGCGTGCACAACAACCAAGCAAGCCAAGGAGGCCGACCCGAGGCGCACCGCAAAGCGTGCACACACGAGGACGGCAAAACAAGCGGCGAATCAGGAGGAAGACAGCTGATGAGGGGCCGCAAGAGCGAGGGGCAAAGGCGGATGCCGGAAAAGAAAGGCAAGCCGCGACAGTGAGGAACCCAAAGACGCAAAAAACCAAGCAGGCTGATCCTGCAAGACAGTGAGGAACCAGGCGGCATCCGGGCAAAGCCAGCGCAGAGCCGCCCGAAGGGAGGCGCTAGGTGGCAAGGGGGAGCACAATGCATGTCCCAGCGGAACAAAACGGGAAAGGTGCAGAAGAGCCTAAATCAAGGGTTTCGCTATGCATGCCCGCTCCCCCGTCGTGCCTCCAAGATAACATGGTGCTCGCTCGCCCGGCTTTTTTGGAACCCCGTCGCACCGTGTTCACACAGCTCAGCACTCAAGAATGCACATGCGAATCTCAGCTTCACTGGTTTGGACTGATTCGAAAATCACATGTGATCCCTGGTTCTCCGCCGTTTGGCGGCTCCCCCTTGGGCCGTGGCCTTTGTAAGCCATGTCCAGACTATAAAGTAAGCCTGTGCACGGCTCCGCTTCGAAGCGGAGATACTCTTCAGAGTGCTTTTCCTTCTGTCCAAAACATCTGGATCTAACTCCGGGTTGAAAGAAGCTGCAGTTGATGACCTTGGCTCAGGGAATCCGATATATATTGTTCTGATTCTGCGAACCTGTTCTTGAAAGACGAAAACCAATGAACAAGAATGCTGTGTTGATCTAGTTGCTTGCCCTCAAAGCAGCCATTGTTCAAAAGCCTCCCCTGGAAGTGGGGCAAAGTCGAATCGCAATGAACTGTTTGATGCATTGAGCAACCATCCGGGATAGGCATCTCCGCCGCCTGCCGGTCCGGCAGCGAAGCTGTCGAACACGACAAAAAAGCTCGCGATGCTCGATTGGCATCTTCCGGGATGCCAGATCGCTGCTCCTCCTTCTCCACAGCATCCTGCAGGGGGCTGTTTATAGTTCATCTAAACTATGTGTGCAACGAATGCCGCGACCCGAAAGAAAACTCGATTACGTGATGGGTGGTGCCCTTGTCGTCTGCTCCTGCTGCTCCTCTTCCTCGTCGAGTCTGCTCAAGAGCTCTTTGCAGGCGGCTGTAGCAGGATCATCATGGAGCTCCTCCCACTCGATGTCACCCTGAGGAGCTGTATTTCTGAGGCCAGTCAAAATCCGAAGCCTTCAACTATACTTATTATTTGGAAAAAGGTTGTGCCTCAGGCAGCTGCTGCTCCTCTTCCACATCTTTCTTTCTTTTCTTGGCCTCTTGTTCGTCCATCCTCGCGAGCACCCTGTCAATCTGCGGCTGGCCGCATTGCTGCTTTACAGCCTCCAGAGCCAGCAGCCGCCTGATCTTCTGATTCTTCGTGCTGTTCTTCGGCATCTGAACATCGCTCTTCAGCAGCAGCTCGCTCAGCGAAGCGGATGTTGTCTGAAGGATCTGCTGGCTTTGCACCAAAAAGCACAACAAGCTGTACTCCTGGAACCCCCTCCGGAACAGGAGGCATGACCCGCATTTGTCCTCCAATGGCTGCCCGCAAACATGCAAGCTGTAGCCATACAAGAAGACCTTGAATCGACAAGCAGGCGTTGAAACGAACGAGCGAGCCCTTCCTTCGGAAAAAAGGCTGTTTCATGCCAAGAAGCTTCGTCATACTCAAAGCGGAGCTGCTGGATCAATTCCCTGCAACAGCCACTGAAAAAGGACTCCGAATCTCTATCGCTCAAACTATGCAAACATTGGCCCTGCGTGTCCCCCACTCGCCTGCCAACATCCAAGCAGAGGGCGGGAGTTGTCAGCCCTTCCAACAAAGGGTCCCACCAAGGCTCTTGAAGTCTGCACGGAACTCGCGTCTCGTCGGATTTCTGCTCGGGCAGGGCACCCGAAAACTTGTACGGGAGCTCCTTCAAGCGGACAGCCTCAGGTGATGGTGTTGCACGAGGGTTTAGCACACATCATGTCTTCAAACATGCGACAAGCGTAATAATTGATCTTGGCAACATACAAGACTGCCGGCGTCTTGCCCGTGCAGATGTAAAAGTCCCTCTTCCACTCGAACATCATTCCCGCTGCGAAGCACCCTTGCACCCAAAACTCCGATGCAGCGTGTGCGGGGTCCTTGCCCTGCCTCGGATTCGCTGAATATTGAAAACAAGCTTCTACACAGATCAGGCAACCAAAACCGGCCAGTGTATGCGTGCAACTGTGGTGCTCGTGGGCCTTCAGGAAACCCTGCATCGTGTTCAGGCAGTGGTGGTTGTGGAAGAAAGCAGAGGTGCTGGGGAAGTTCTTCAGAATGTTGTCTGCCGTAACATTCTTGCCTGAGAACTGAAGCTGAATGACTTTCGATTTCACAAGAACAGAATTTCAAACGTGGCCGGTTGATGCAGGCAAGAAACAAGTCGGAGCCGAAGTCGGCGAAAACGCCTTTGGCTTGATCCCCGCCGCCTGAGGTCCAGTCCAATCCTCCTTGTCAAGCTCCAAAGCTTTCGGGCTGCCCTCATGCTTGCATACTCGTCGAAGCAAGCTTCGCACTCCCACGGCATTCAGGTTTGCCAAGGATCCACAGTCGGAGCGGCCGCTTTGCTTGACAGCATGACTCATCTCGCCGAACATGCTTTCCAAGCAGGCACTTTGGCAGAAAGCCGGGTTCCAAGCCGATACCATTTGCTTGCATTCGCCTGTCATGACATAGTTGTGCTTTTCCAAGCATGCCATCACCTCCCGGTAGCGCTGGTATCGCGTGTGGTGGCAGCTCGCTGTCAAAATCACAGCGGATGCCGGCTTGCTCTCCATCGACAGCACAACTTCCCACTCTGCCTTCATTCTCTCGAGAATGCATTGCTTCGTCTTGCCATCGTCTGCCTCTTCTGCAGAAACGAGAGCCGCTGCACAGTGCGGGCTGCTGCGTAGGTACAAAGTGTACTGCATCATCTCGTGCACTGTCGACAAGTAGAGCCCCAAACCTTCCCTCAGGATGTTTTCGTAAGTTGCACATCTTCGAAACTTCAGTCGGAGGACCTGAAAGGATGCACAGAAGAACCCAACAATATGTAATCACCCCACCATACCGGATGTTGTCGCGATGCTGTATTACACTATGGGTTTTGTTTTCGGGGCTTGGGGCTGCAATGCTTCAGAGGGCTACTCGAATCGTGGAATGAAGCCGCTCTCGTCCTTCGTTTCAATAACATTGGGCTCTAGAGTCACCAAGCGTCTGGGTTGCACCGGTGCAGCCGGTTCTAATCTAAAGAGCTCAGACCAAACCTTTTCATAATATGAGAGTCTGTGCGCTGCTTCGAGCTGGCAGCTCTAAGCGAAACCAGAAGAGAGACCAAATCACTGAGCTTCATCTGTAAGCTGGGGCTGTTCATCTGCAACGTGAGGTCGCGGTGGGCATTCATAGTGTTGGT